AACAGACCAGTCGTCCCTGGGCATCATGGGGACTGTTTCCGGTCCTCTCCCCACCCCAGGCAGCCAACTCTGCACAACACGGCACAGCAACCGCACAGGACCCACTTACTCCCGCACACCCCGGGGCCTCTGAGCCACAGCAGCTTCCGCCCTGTGCTGTTTAGGAAACAATGACACCGAGAATCCGAACATATGCCCAGTTTTTCTTCGGATACTTTGACCCGACTTGGTCGAGTCCACAAAACAAGAGTGAACAGACGCAGGCCAAGGACAGACACCGCTCGGTGCGTCACACTCGACTTCAACAGTGACGCCGACGACTCCCCTGGAGGCTGTCCGTCCAGCTCTCCTCCAAGGAGGCAGGAGGTCCCCGAAGGCCAGAGGGTCGGGGGAGTGGGTCTCACTGCGGCCCGACCGAGTCTTCCACCCACTACTGACACTGGGGCAGGCACCCTTCCCCTCCCTGTCCAGTTAATCTGCAGGGAGGACTCGACCGCCCTTGTTTTTACACTTGCACACACGCTTCTCAATCAGCTTGTCAAAAGCCCTTTAAAAAATGACATTTAGAGTTATAATTTATAGATTCACTTGGGGAAGACTGACATTTTTACAGAATCAACTCCTGCTCCCCCAAACAGAAAACCTGGTGGGCAGAATTCTAACAAGACCGCCCTGATCCTCCACCTGTACAGTCTCCTCCGGGTGGGTGTGGGCACGTCTTGTGGATGTGATGTCACGCAAAGCTTGGGTTATGTCATGGGGCGTAGTTGATGTTAGGAAGCAGTGACAATTCTGGTGGGTGTGGCCTTTCAGGTGATACCTTAAAAGCCCCAGGGCTCCCTTACTTTAAAAATAATCTTCTTGTTTTGAGACAGCGTTTCACTATGCAGTTCAGGCTGGCCTTGAGCTCATTATATAGCCCAGGCTATCCTCGAAAGGACTGTGATCCTCCTGCCTCAGCCTCCTGTGTACTGGGATTACAGGTGTGTGCCACCCTCCCCAGCTGGGTTCCTTGAGGGGTTTGAGGCTAGGCATGCTGTCTGCTGCTGTGAAGACTAGGGGCTCACATGGCAAAGCATGCAGGGGGCTACCCGTGCCTAAGAGTGGCCCCAACTGACACCCAGGAGGGAACAAGGGCAACAGACACAACCACAAGCAGCTAAATTCAATCAATGACTCAAATGAGCCTGAAGCTAACTCAGGCCAAGTCTCCTGGAGGGGCAAGGCCCCAACACCTTGGTCCAGCGCTGAGATCCTGAGCAGAGAAGCTGCTGAGGCCTCAGGACATCTGCTCCCACATGGGGGTATGTCAGGCTGGTAAGTGTGCGGTGACTTGTTAAGCAGCAGAGGTGACTGACACATAGCAGAGGTGGACTATTCATCCCAGTCCACAATGGTTGTTTTGTCCTGTTTCATAGTTTCGGGGCTTTGACCGGGGCGGGGGGGGGGGGGGGGGGTCGGTTCTTCAGTGCTGAGCATTGAAGCCAGGGTCTCCTTTGTGCTAGGCAAGTGCTCTACCACTACGCCACATCCCCAGGCCTTGTAGTTTCCTGCATATAACCTTCAACATCTTTGATTCATATTACTTTTTACTATTTAAACAGTAGAAAATATAGCTTCCAGCAGTTTACAGCTAATATTTAGAGAAATACTGCATTTAGTGAGATCTAAAAACACAGTAAGCTGTTTTGCCAAATTCTCACTAACTTTAGCAACTGGCTTTTCTATGTAGACAGTCATATTATTTGTGAATAAGGGGTCACATTTCCTCTGATGCTGTTCCATCTGCCACCACACTTGCCTGATTCCACTTAAGGACCAGCAGGAACATCTCCCTTCCAGAAAGCTCTTTCTTCCCAAAGGTCCAGGCAGCTGGGCACCCGCTCCTCAGCCCTTGGGGACTCGAGCCAACCAGGTGACGGGCATCTCTGCAGGGAGGACAGTGACGCAGAGCTGCCTGTACTCAGGGAAACTGAGCAGCTGTACACTAAGGAGGAGATCCAGTCAGGGAAAGAGCCTCAGAACCACGGAGGAGGAGGAAACCGGAAGGCAGCCGGTGGTGGGACCCAGGGGCACTGGCATAGACAGGGCACATTCCCTAGCTCTGTCCTCCCAGTGGGCCAGGTGCAGCAGGGCCCTGCCGGCCGTGAGCAGGACCCACAGCCACACTGTGGTTCCCAACACCTGCATTCACTGAAAGGAACGGGGTCCCTCAGAAGTGGCTTCTTCTGGAGCACGGAGGGAATGGGGCAGGGAGGGCACAAGTGGACCCAACACCAGGCAAAAGGGCGCCTTCTGGCCAGGTCTCCCTGAGAGAAGTCCTGCTCCACACCAATGGGAGCAAGAGGAGAGAGAAGGAAGAGGGAGGAAAAAGGTTCAAGGACTGAGAAGAAACAGGGGTTTGAGTTCTCCAACCCCCACCTCAGTCATCACGGGAGAGGCAGAGGAGTCACTGTGGCCACCTCACCATGCAAGGGCTGAACATCCACCCTGGGGGGCCTGAGGCTGCACAAGCCCTGCCCAGAGGTGGGATCTGAATCTAACTGCAAGGAAAGCTAGTTTGGTGATCATTCTCCAAAATCACTGGCTCACTTCACAGAGTCACCGTCACGAAGGCCCAGGACAACTGATCCACTGTCAGGAGGTCACAGCAATGCCCACACAGCCACACGGGCCCGGACCCCACACTCCTGATGGTACGCTGCAGGCAGCTGCCCTTGCTTGCTGGAAACCTCCTGCACAGAGGGTGTGGGCACAGAACCCCACCCCACCCCGTGACTCGGAAGTCATTCTTATGCCACTGACAACTGCTCTCCAGGCTGTCCCCTTAGCATCATCATCAGATATGGACAGACCCCAGTGACCTCCACATTGGACCTGCTCCACCCCCTCGGCAGGAGCTGATGAGCAGCCCAGCCTCCTTGGGAAGTGAAGCCACCACCACACACAGGTGGAATCAGCCCCTAGCACTCACATCCCGGCTCACAGGTAAGAGCAGGAAAAAGCCCAGGCCAGGCTCCCAGAAAGGCTCTGGATACCTGGGAAGCAAGGCCCTTCCTGTGTCCAGGCTCAAGTGCCATCTGGGTGGGAGGTGGCCTCCAGGCAGGCAGACCTTGGTGCCAGAGACCCAGGCTGACCATACACTATCTCCCAGCCCGAGGGCCACTCAGACTACAGCTCTGTTTCTCCTCTCTTCAGTACATGCAGCGTGTAGGCCACAGACACCCCCACTGCCACCAGGGGCCCCTCTGCATCCCCACCCCTCCATGTGCACCAGGCCCCTTGGCCTCACTTCCTGGCCTGCCCTCCTCGTCCACCAGGGCACCGGCCTCCATCTGTGCTTCTGCTGACCCCAGCCACTGGCCACCTGACCCTGCAAAGCCCCTGCCTGGGTGGAATAGCGCCACAGGCTGAGGCCATCTCCCACCTAGCACAAGCTCAGCTCTGTCAAGCTCAGCCAGTGTGAAACAGATGAAGGAGTGTGAGCACAGGGGCTGGCAAGAGCCCCCCAGCACATCCATCCGACCCAGCTCATGGTCGGAAGGGACCAGCAGGATCGGCTACGCCTCCTCCACTCCTCCCCACAACCTCCACACCCAGGGACAGTGGCTTCGGGTACCCCCTCGGCAGGTACAGGAGCCTCTGACCAGTGCGGCCTCCCCGTACCCTGAATAAGTCATGGGGATCACCTGCTGCCCAGCAGAAAAAGCCACAGGGGCCTCTGGATACACAAATCACGAGTACAGAACACAGTGGACAAGAGGGTCGGTCGGAGCAAGGACAGCATAGAAGCAGGGCCAGCATAGAGACGTCATACCCCAAAAGTGCCTAGGAGGCTCACTCTGCGCTCCAGCCTCATTCCCAGGGGACTCGGGAGAGAGACAACCACAGAGGAAGCAGATTTGAACAGGTCTGGGAAGAGCAGACAGGGGTTTTAGGGGTCACAGGATCTCAGGGCCCTAAGTGTCGGCAGAACCCTATCTCTCCACTAGGTGGCGCCCAACCCTCAGCAGAAAGGGGCAGCAGGAACAGAGCCAGGCCTCACTTGATCCCATGCAGGGGTGCAGAATGGGCCAGATGTAGACTCCAATCTATGGCTTCCCTAATTCCTCTCCACCCACCAGCTTCTAGGAAGACAGCTGTGGAGATGGGGGTTGGGAGTGTCCTCCCAGCTTCAAAGGCCCCCAAACCAAAGGGTCAGGCCAATGCCCAGGACTTCAGACAAGCACCAGGGCCAGACAGAAGCCATGCTAGGGCCGAGACCTAACACCCTCACGGGCATCTGCACCACTCCAAGCAGCGAGGTGCATGGCAGCTCAGCCCTTTTTCAGCCACGCCGTCCTCAAGTCTCATTTCCAGACTCACTGGGGCAGGCTAGGGAGCTCACTCCTGGCCGTGGAGTGGCACCCTTGATCCTCCCCCCAAGCCCACGGCAGACATCACTCATCAATCCCAGCAGGCATGACACATTGATCTCCACATTCCCTTCCACGGAGACCTCTGGAAACACACAGCCAAGCACTGGAGTTGGCACATGAAATTTGAAAACCACTAGTCAACCGGGATCAGGGTGAATCACATGACATGGCCTGCCACACGCTGCTCACTTCCTCCACTTTCCCAATCCAGCCCCTCTGCCACACACCATAGACAGACATGCAAAGTAGACCACTGCAGGCTTATAAGCCTTTGAGCAAATTACTAAAGGTGCTTCTCACAACAGACAGAAAGCGAAGTGCCAAGATACACCCACAAGGCCAGGTGCCCTTGTACAGTGCACAACCTAAACAACCTTACCCAGCCCCTTGCTCCACAGAAGTAGGACCAGAGTCACGCTGAAGTAATAACAATCTCATTCTTTGCAAGACTTATTGATGAAAATTAGTGGCATTCTGACACATCCAATTACACATACACAATCCATAAAACAGAACACAATCAACATTCTCTTTGTGTAAAACACCAGCACCCAACTTCAGTGCCTGGAATCTGTGAGTTACCCTGTGCAGGCCCGGTGCAGGGCTCTGGTCCCTAAAGGCCACCAGCAGCGAAGGTTGCATGGAAGCTGCAGGGCCCGAGGAGAAGGCCACTGCTTTTCACTTTCCAGGCTGTCTTCAAGGTCTCTGTGAAGTCACCATCTCATCTCCCGGAAGCAGCTTACAGAAGAGAGCAGCACGCCACAAGGTCCCCTGGAGCACTGTCCCATCCAAGCTATAGGGAGAACCTGGCGGTGACGGTGACTGTCCCCATCCCATCTCCGCCTGTCCCGAGATGAGGTCTGTCAAAGGCACAGTCCTCTCTGCCTGGCTGTGAGCAGCTGCCTCTTCCACAATGCATCGGTCCCAGATCTCGAAGGCCATCAGGATGTCACCTGCACAGCCACAGGTGGGGGTGACGACACAGCTTCTCTGTCAGCTCCTCCTCCCTGGGCTCCTCCAGAATGTCCCTGTGGAGGAGGAGACCCACAGGCACTCAGGAGGAGTCAGACATGGGCCGCTGCAAACGAGTGACCAGAGCCACAGGGAGGCTTCCAAGTGCCAGGGATCCTTACCCTTCACCTCAACCCTGGCTCCAGGCTTCTCTCCCCAGCTTGCCTACTGAGGTTGTTGTCACAGGGCCTGTGGCTGCCACCTGCCCCTTTGCCTCCCCATCATGTACCTGAACATGAGCTCCTCCGACATCTGGTATGCAGCCTCCACGCTCCCAGCAGGGGGCTGCTCATGATTTTGGGGGTCCCATCTGTGGAGGAAGTTCTGGCAAGCAGAAGGCAGGAAGGGCAGTTAGTGAGCGCCCCGTGGGGAACCAGCCTCACCCCTTCCTGGGTCTCCAGCACAGCCCAGCATCACTGCAGGAGCCAAGCAGTTTGCCCTAAAGGCCCGGATGCAGGGTCCAGGTCAGCTCCCTTCTACCCCAGCAAGACATGAGTTTCTCTTCAGGCTTGGCAACACATCTGGGGCACCCAAGGGGCCCCAGCAACCAGGGAAGCAACACTAAGCCCCAGGGGAGGGGGCTCAACACACCCAGCCACCCCCAACCCATGCACTCAGAAGGTCTGGCCAGGGTCTCACAGAGGTCCTAGGTGGGCCTGGACGGGGACTACTGATACCTCCAGGAGCAGAGCCAGAAAGAGGTTGACCCATATGACGGATGACACAAGCCACCACAGCACAAAGTAGATCTTGGACCACCTGTGGAGGACAAGGAGGACCCCACACTACTGTGAGCAGAGTGAGACCCTTCCTGAAACACCAGCACCCATGGGTAGTATCCTGGATGGCGTTTATCAGACTGCCCACAACTCCCTGGGGCCCAGTGTTACTATCGCCATCTACAAGGATCCCAGCCAGGCTGCAAAGCATTTAAGCAGAGCCAGTGGGAGAAAGACTTGGAGAGAAAGAGGGAAAGGCTCTTTTGCTAGAGCAGATCTGAGCTCTCCAGTTCCCTACCTCAGTCTCCCCAGGGCACCTGACCCTGTGGAATTCCCTAGAAGCTCCAGTCAGACCCACTTGCTCCCCCAACACCAACACCCCCAGGAGGTGTGAAGCCAGAGTCCTCACTGTCGCCAAGATGCGGTGTGGACAGGGATGACAGGCGGCCATGATGCTGCCTGGCCATGTCCCCAGTCAGGGATTCCCTGCTCCACCCAGGCCTGGGCATCGGGTGCTCTGGGCCAGTAAGCAGGGAGCCCCATCTGCTCAGAACCTCTGCCATCGGGAGAGGGTGACTCACGGGCCCACGTAGCGTTCATACGCATCCAGGATCACCTGCCAGTTGTTCACCACCATCACATTCCACAGAGTGACCAGGGCAGCCTGTGGGGGCAGCACACTGTGGGTCTGGGCAGGTCCAGGAGGCAGCGGACAGTGGGAGAAGGTCTGGGGACAGACACAAACCTCACCGCAAAGTCATCGAAGTTGTTGGCCCAGTACTCCAGCTGCTCAAAGCTCCCACAGGATGCAGAACCATTGGCAGGGGCCAGGCTGGGGGACACAGTGCCTCTGGGTCAGTGTCAGGGTGCAGGGTCTGCATACCCAGGTAAGCAGCGCCCCAGCCCCAGCCCCACATGGACCTCTTTATGGCCCCTGGGGCAAAGGGGGCAGAAATGTCTATCCATTCAGGGAGGGTCTGTGGGCACAGCAAGGAGCATCCTGGGGCTCCAGGCTCTGACGCTGCCCTGTAACCCAACCCACCAACTTCTGCAGCATGTACCCCAATGGTGGGGTAGGGGCAGGGCATCTAGGAGAGGCCCAGAGGTGGGGCTGAGGGGACCCCTCCTCTCCTGAGCAGCTCAGCCTCACTCGTTGCCCCCCACAAGATCCCCTTTGGCACCGCAGACCCCACTGCACCTGCTGTTTCCAAAGGGAGCCACAATGGTGCCTCGGAACAGGCTGATCCCCACGATAGCGAACACGTAGTATACCACCTACAAGGCAGCAAGGCCATCAGCACAGCCAGAGCCCCAGGGCTGCTCCAGCCATAGGCAGCCCTGCTTCAGAACACACAGGACTGGGAGGCCACGGACACCTTTGGGGAGGGGCAGCTGCGATCCCAAAGCTCCCCAGGAAACAGGGGCTACTTTCAGGTTTCCCTGGTCACAGGCCCCCTTCCTGCCCAGGTGAGGCCCCTAAATGGAAGATAGGTCCTGGGGAGGGGTCGGGACACACTGTGGCTTTCGCTTGTCAAACGTGACTGAGAGTCCCTCAAATCCTCTAAGAAAGAAGCATGGACCAAGCCCCTTCCCTGGGAGGCAAAATCTTGGGCCTTTGGCATTTTTCCTGTTTCTCAGTGTGGCCCAGGACCCAGGGGCATGAGGGATTGGAAGTTACCAGAAGGATCCCTGGCATGGAAGAGGTTGGGGGAACACCAGCCACAGCAGCTTGGGGCCCTCTCCGGAAGGAAGGGGAGTCTGGCTTCTTGCACCCAGAGCCTCTTGAGCCTCACCTGCTGCTCTCCACTCCCCCACCCCACCCTCCCCGGCCAGCGAGCCAGCCTGTGTGGCCTCCCTCGCAGCAACCAAGCCCACCCCTGGGGTCCCCTACCAGCAAGACTCACCACCAGGATCCCACCAAAGGCCCGAAGGTTCTGGACCAGGCCCAGGACGGTACTGACCACCATGGCCATGGGCTGCAGGCAGGAGGAAAGCACAGTCCCTCACATCCTGCCCCACCGGGGACACCAGTGCTACTGCCCCAACCTCAACTGGGAAGCACGAAGGACAGGTGAATGACCACCAAGCCACATGCCTGGACCGTGCAGCCACCCATGTGCTTCTGGACACACACCCCCACACACTCACACCTGTCTACATACCCCGCATCCTCCCATACACATCCTCACCCCAAGCCACATTCGCCACACCGGTTCACACCACTCGTATACCCCACATGCACACACTCCTGTCAACCCGGCCCATGGGGCCCTGAGTTCCAAGGCGGAACCGGAGTCCAGGACCTCAGATCCCCTCTGCCCACCGACACAGAGGCCAGGTGAGCCCCTCCAGTCTGGAGGCTCCAAACTGACCAGGCCTGGAGGTGGCAGGTGAGCCCCAGGGACGAAGTCCAAGGAAAGGGCCTCAGAGAGCTGGCCAGAAACCTGCCCCCTAGGCTGTTATTACCACACAAGCCAGCCCCAAGAGAGCCTCTAGCCTGTCCCATTCACCTACGCAACACTGCAAGTAAGAAACAAGGCTATGCTGGCTGGTAAGGTATGTGTGTGCACACACACGGGTCATTACATGCACAAATATGCACATGCGTGCATCTTACATGAGTGCACATGTCACTGTGTGTATGGTTACCTATATATGTGCATGTGTGTGATGTATCGTGGATGTGTGTGGTTATGTGCGTGTGATCACATGTGCCTGAGTCAGTGTGTAGGGAGACTGTGTATGTATGTACACCCTATGGTTGTGTGACCATGTGCACACGTATATGATCTTATGTGAGCATGTGTGTGCCAGGATGCATACAAAGGCCCCAGCACAGCAGCCCAGAAACCCAGCCTCCATCATGTGAGTTATACCACTGGGCTAAAGGTGCCCGCGGTAGGACAGGCACGCTCAGGAGGACCCGGGCCAGCAGACACAGCCCCGACACCCTCGGATTTTGCTTCTCCTGAGTTCTTTAGAAATGGAGATGCAAGCAGACCTCTCTGTGCCAGGCTGGGCCTGGATATGCTGATCCACTTGCCTCCCCTCCCCTCCACTCCTGTTGCACGTTGCTCCTGATGGGCTCAGAGATGTCACGAACAAGCCCTAGCCCTTTGTTAGGGTCCTGAGAACTGGCACCTGGCCAGCTGTACTGTGCCTCACCAGGGCCTTTGCAGCAGCCTCCAGCAGCACAAATGGTGTCCTGGGGTGGCCAAGGGACCACACGCACCCCTGCTCTGGTCTCACCTAGACAAAGGGCTCGATTCTCACCTTCTAATCACCCACCCAGCACCTTGGGGATGCAGAAGGCTGAAGGGTTCCTGAGGGGCCCAAGATGACAGGGACAACCCCTGCTCACCCGCCCAGAGCAGGGCACAGGCAGGGCGGGTCAGACTCCCCACACACCTTCATGTTGGGTATGATGCGCAGGAACCGGAACACGATGAGCATGTTCACCAGCCTCGTCATGTCCCACAGGGACAGCAGGCCCAGCGTCTCCGGCTTCCTGCACACATACACACAGGAGACAGGCGAGGAGAGGCCCAGAGGCCGGCAGGCATGTGGTTGAAAGACAGAAGGAAAAACAGAGCACCACAGGAGGTCAGTCCATTGACACACCAGGCAGCCCTGGTCACTGCCCCATACCCCAACATAGCCTCATGGGGGTGCAGGGCCAGAGGATGCCCCCTTTTACAAAGAAGGCTGCGTAAGTCCCAGACTCGAAAAGATGTGGTCTCAGCAGAACAGGGAGACTTGCCCCGACACCACACTCAGGTCCCCGACCCCACACATCCCTTCCCGCCCCGAGGACACCAGTGCTGCAGAGCCAGGAGAGGCCTTAACTCCTACACCATCATCCACCGGGCAGGACTTGCCCACAGTTCAACCACCACTCAGTTTGCCTGGTGCCAGTGGCCCAGTCCTGGGCCCGCCTGAGGGTGTCAGAGGCCCTCCCCTGCAGCCCCTGGGGGACGCTGTTTGTATAGCTCCCTGGGTTCCTCAGTCACATACCACCGTGGGTGTGGGAATCCGTACACAGCCAGAGTAGAGATCTCTAAAACCTTTAATGGCAAAAGAAAAGGAGGCATCATACAGCAACACTAATTCAGGTGGCTTCCAGACAAAAATGTCAAAGCTCATGTCTGACGTGTTCTCCCCAGGGGGGCTTTCGGGAAAAAATCAGAGCCCAATCTTTGTCCCCACAGTCAGTTCCCATGTTGGGACTCCCATTAATTAGCTGGAAGTCACCTGGCCTCAGGATTTGGGGCAGAGCGAAGCTAAGTGAAGGACGGACCAAGTGGCCCTCTCAAACTCCAAGGGGCCGACTAGCTCTAATGGTCCAGATATAGACAAATGTCACTCCAGAGTCACTACTGTGACATTCACACACCAAATATGTCCCCCTCACTCTCAGCATTTAGGGAAAAGGGTATGTGACCCACACCGAGGTCACATTGAATTGGTGGCTGTGCCTTCTCGGTTCCCTCCCTGAGGTTGGAAAGAGCAGCTCAATCCCATCTGCACAGGACACAGCAGACATCTGGCCTCCTGTGGCCTCCTGCAGCCCCTTGCTATGAAGCTGGGTGGGAGCAGAGTTGGCCCCTTCTCTCTTGATGCCAAGGCCTTGGGTCTCAGGGATACAAAAAGGGCCCAGCCGAGGCCACCTCCCACTTTACCAACAGGATGGAGGTCAGGAGGCCGTCACACACATTGCTGGGGTAGGACAGGTAGCCCCACGGGCCCAGAGCGAAGACCTTGAGCAGCAGCTCCAGCACGTAGTACAGGATGAAGATGCAGTCCAGGATCTGGCGAAGGGGGGGACACCACGGGGCTACCCCTGGACACTTGTCCCCTGTCCCTCCCCCTTCTCAGCTGCTCCTCCCCAAGCCCCATGCCTCATGCTCAGGGCACCCCCACAACTCCACTTCCTGCTCCGTGCCCTCCCCTTGGTGTCTACCAGACCCCAACACCTTCTTTATGAGGTGTGGGCAAAAATATGGTGGATGCAGCTCTGAAGTGCTATCCAACAGAAAGGTAAGCTCCTAGAAACATCACAGTGCGTCCTCATTCACCTTGTTCACCCGATCTGATACTGTGCAACTTCTGACTCTTCCCCAAAACAAAAAGACCACGAAAGGTAAATGTTTTGAACTGATTCGGGACATGAAGGCAGCCAGACAGCACAACTAACCACACTCATGAAAGAACTTCCAGAACTGCTTCAGAGAGTGGCAAGAATGACGGGATAGTGTTCAAAGTGAGGAGGAGCATCTTGAGGGGGATTAATAACAAGCTGTCTTTTACTGTAACAAACTGTTTAATTCAAACGTCCGGCATATTTTGTAACCACAGCTCTTATTTCATACACGTGACATGCCATTTTTAAATGTGACAGATCAAACCATTCCTCAAACAGCTAAGGAAACCTCACGGCTTTAACTTAGTATCTTTCGTAATATATTTCAGCAAACTTTGAAAGACACCCTTTGTCAAGGCACTGGCAGAAAATAACACGGGGCTGGTGCTGTGGATTAACTTAATATCCACGTGGAAAAACTTTAAATTCCTAAGGAATCTGCCAAGATGTTTAATGCTGGATAAGACATTCACAATTTCTTTTTCAAAGGCTGGTAAACAACCAAGACAGAGCTCAAATCCTGGAGCCAAAGCCAGGAAGACCCTGAAGTCACAGCTGCTGTCCCCTTGGGCCTCTTCTCCCTTCAGGCCCCTCCACTCCACCCACTACACCTGGACCTGTGCCCACTGCTGACCCCACCAGCCTGTCCCAGCCCCCACTGGGCCAGGCCACTCCACGAGGGAGGATGGCCACCTCCCTGCTCCCCCTGCGACCCTGGAACTCACCCCCAGGACAAAGTCATCGCGGTTCCTGGGCAGCACATCAGCATCCTGCACCAGGAACACCTACAAAGCCAGAAGAGGGCACTGCCTGAGCCAGCAGAGCACAGCACAGAGCCACAGCAAGGCCACACTCACTGCAGGACACACTGCCACTAGGCCAGGCAGGAGGAGGAAGGGGGCAGCAAAGACAGGCTTCCCATGTCCACATAGGGCAAGGCTGCACTCACGCAAATGGACACAAGGTTGCCCAGGGCGATGATGTTCCCCAGGTAGTCGAAGTAGTAGTGGCTGAAGAGGAACTGGGCAGTCTGGAGAAACGGAGACTGGTACTGGGGCTTCAGCGGGTGCTGGAAAGAACCCACTTGCTCAGAAGCACATTACAGCTGGCAGGCGGCCCTGTCCTCATTCTGGGATTCAGTGTTCTCCTAACTCACCACCTATCCTAGTCTCCAGCCTAGGGAAATAGTCCTGAATGCAGAAATAAACAGGAGGTTCATCACAGTGGCCTTTAAATTCCAGAGGAGAGGTAACAGTGCCCTCAACATCCACTGATTCTGGAAGTACACCAGGTAATAACACCACATAGTCATCCAAAACTTGTGTGCCATGTCTGCCACGCTCTGAGTGATGTCATGCTAAAGTACACCAGGCCAGCACACAACAGCTACAGAACACAGCATGCACACACCCACTCGCACTGTGAACAGGCTGGCATGGAAAGCAGTAACAGGGACCAGCAGAAGTGGGACCCATCAGATGCATCCGAGTCCACCTCCCTGCCCTGTCCCCGTTCAGGACCCCCCTGGGTCCTCTCAAGGCCGAGTTGGCTGAACAGTTCCTCTGCTGTCGCCACTCCCTACGTGGGACACACCTGGGCTGCTTCTCGGCACCCAGAAACCCACACAGGAAAATGTGGGCAGCTGGGGGCCCTGAACCGTGTTAAGCAGGAGGCCAAGGCCTACTGCATGTCACTGCCGAGGAGCAGAGGTGACACACAGAGAGGGGCACACAGAAGAGGAGAGCTTGTCTCGGAGATGAAGAAAGCCACGTGCACAGCCCCTCTGCATCAGGCTGGGGCCAGGCCAGGTCCCAGGGCTGGTGAATTTCTCCAGGTCAACAAAGCCTCCAGATTTCCCAGGAGCCAAGCAGAGCTCCATTTCCACTGCAGAGATCGGGTGATGACAGGGACTATGGAGAGTCCCCTCAAGCGCTGGCAGCCCTGGGCTCAGCAGGTGGCATATGTCAATGCCCCCTTACCTCTTTGATCACACTTTTGTCAAGTTCGTCGAAGACCTTCTGGAACTCGTCGGCTGACAGCAGGGTATCATTGTAGGAGTGCACCTTCTGCAGGGGGAAGCCTGGGTCAGTGGCTGGCAGGGAGCAAAGAGTCGGGCCACTGACCTCACCCGCTGTGAGCGCCGGGTTTACCAACCCACACTCCGACACCGTGGGCTATGAACGCCAAGCTCACTGACCCACACCTGTCCTCACTCCCAGGGACCCCAGAGGGCAGGCAGACACAGGGAAGCAGCTACCTCCATGATGGCCTGTTTGTGAGAATTGGTCATCTGCACTTTCTGAAGCACCTGCAGGAAGTTCTGAGGTTTCACCCCAACTCTGTGGGAAAGAAAACCCCATCCCAGTGAGCACGTCCAGCCAGGCCACCAGGACCCTGCCAGGCAACACAGCCCCAGGCCACAGTCTATGCTTGGCTCAAATTCACACTGCCACCTGGCAAGGACTTCAACTAGTGAGCATCTACTGTGGCAGGTGCTACAGGTATTTTATAGTCACCAACTAAGGTCCCCAAGGACCCTCCCTGTCCTAAGAGGATCAGGCAGGCTCCATCACCACCCAGCAGTTGGGATTAGAACCCTCCCAAGGACACACCTTTGAACTCTGTCACCACTGACTGTGAAGCAGGGTAGACTCCTGACCCAAGGGGATTAGACTTGGGCAAGAGTGACAGGTGACAGGTGCCAGGGCACTGGGACAGGGCAGGTTTCAGGATTCGTGAGGAACAACAGGTCTGGCAGCAGCCAGCAGGGGTGCTTGGGAATCTGTCCCAGCGTGGTATCAGCCTCTGGCCACTGAGGAAGGGCTCCCCCCGGGCCGGCACTCACGCCTCAGGAGTGGCTCCCGCCTGCCCCAGCCTGGAGGAGAGGACTTCATAGGCAGCTCGGGTGCCCAGCCGACGCCGGAACAGTGAGGTCTGCAGAGATTTCTGCAAGGAAGACATTCTGAGTGGAGGCTCCACCTGCTCCGACACATGTCCAACCCGAACCCAACTGCCCTCCAGGGACAGAAGTAGATACACGGGGGTTGTGGGCTGCCTGCAAGGGTACCCAGCCCACCCACAGCAGGGGAGTGGCCCCTCGCCACCCGGCATCAGAGGACAGCTGCACAAGCTCCTTGGGAGCCCTCACAGTGGGGAAGCCCCACAAAAGCTCAGTCCAACTGGGGCAAACAGCAGCTCCTGTGCAATCCACGAAGGCCTGCATCTCTCCTCAGCTTTTGTGGGGTCCCTACTGCCCACAAGGGGGTCCAGGTCAGTGCCCCTCGAAGAGCTGCAATTCTGGATGGCTCCCCCCAAGGGTGTGAGAGGACAGGGGAGGGAGCCCGGGGTGGCATGGCACCGGCACCTGCAACCCCAAAATGACTCAGTGTATCTAAGGAGACAGAAGCCCCACTCACCACCCCCACCAGAGCAGGGCCAGCAAGGCTGAGGGCCACCCTGTCACCCTGGTCACACCCAGGCACAGTTGGGCAGGTGACTCACCATCAGGTAGCCGCGGAACTGGTTATAGATGATGGCGGTGAGCAGGTTCATGAGAAATAGACTTCCTGCAGGAAGGGAGTGCAGAGATCAGAGGCAGGCGGGGTAGAGTCGGAGCAGCAAGACAGAGCAGGCCCGGGCAAGACACCAGGAGGCCTGGATGGCCAGGGACACAACACCCCCCCCCAGGCCTCCGTGTCCTCATCACTCAATGGGACACGGCAGGGCCTCCCAGCCATGGGAGAGGACAGACGGGGTCACCAGCGACCACGGGTCACAGATCACAAGCCACAGGGCACGGGGACACGCCAACACACCAAAAGGAAGGTACTCAGGGCTGGACCTTGGCACACCAGGATGACTCCTGGCGCAGCGGCCCACGCATACCCGCCTGTGCTCACCTATCATGGTGAAGACTACGAAGAAGATGGCGTAGGCCCGGTTCTTGGAATACGCAGGAATCATCACTGAGGCAAAGAAGAAACCCCTGAAACCACGATCCCAGCCTCAGTTCCTGGTCACCTTCCCACAGGACTTCTCCCACCTGCCTTCTCAATCAGGAGGGCCCTGGGCAGGGAGAGCTGAAGCCTTCCTGTCCAGAATGCAACCTCAAACCTGCTGTTCTCCTTGGTGGCGGGGGCTCACTACCCACTGAGGACACACCCAGGCTGCCCCCGGAGAAGGTCGTTATGGTGACCAGCCCATGGCTGAGCCCGGGACTGTGGCCTCCCCAGCTGGCCACAGCCCACATCTGAGCAGCTAGGGGACCTGTCGGTACCCATCACAGCCAGCCAAGCCCTGGGATCTCTCACACTTGATGCCCCAGAGCAGCACGCACCTCTCAGCTGGGCCTGGCCGGCGACAAGGAAAGTGGCTAGGCCCCAAAGAGGCCACCAGAGGGGCCACCGACCTCAGCCATTTGACCACATAAAGAACACCGTTCACTTTCAGCTTCTCCGAGGAGTAAGGAGACAAGAGGCAAGGAACCAAGAGAAAGGAGGCAAGAAGGCGAGGAGATGGAAAGAAAAAGGAAAAAAGAAAATGAAAAACAAGAAAAAGAGAAGGCAAAGGAAGAGGAGGAGGAAACAGGGAACCCAATGTCACCCTCCCCAGTGATAAAGGAAAGGCCTGAGACGTCCCCACCAGGCTCCACAGCTCAGCATCCCCAGTCGACAGCCCCTTCCCCGCCAGCTCTCTGATCCCCAGGTCCCACCCTCACTCTGCGCACCATCAGGGTTGTTGGCGGTGGTCAGCAGCACCAGGAGGGAGGTCAGAGCCTCTGGCAGACTCCGAAAGTAGGCCAGTCTCTCCCTGTTCGGCTCCATATCCTGTTGAGAGCAGGTGAGGGTCCGGGAGCCATCAGGACCTCGGCCCAGAGCTGAGGCCTTAGGACACAGACGCTCCAGGCTCCAGGACCAGCCACCACAGCCTGCATCTCCCAATCATTTCCCAGCAGGCTCTGAGTTCAAGGCCAGACAGGATACAACTCAGGGCCTCCAGGCATGGGAGCGGGCATCTGAGGAAATTGAGTATCCCCACAGCTGCCAACCATGGAACAGGCCTGCCCAGAACCACAGTGAAACCCTCAGCTGGCCTAGCTAGGAGTGTTACTGCCTGGTGGCCAGGAGGCCACACATGGGCCTGGCCAGCCTGCCAGCTGCCTACCTCGGCCATGTTGTACGCACAGTGAGGCCAAGCGCAAGGAGCCAGAGGGGCAAAGGGGGAGAGGGCCCAAGCTGGGATGTGTGGCCTCAAGCAGGCCATGTGGAAGGGACTGGGGACACGAACCCCCAGAGAGGCCCACTGCTCCCAGGCTGAGCATCAGAGCCCAGCACCTCTGAGGCACTCCCAAGGGTCCCAAGCCTTGTCATCCCAGCTGTGGCTCTTCACAGCATCCAGGGGGGCATCCGAACCCAGGCTGCCCACCCTCCATCCTCGAGGGCTCCCACCTCATGCAAGGTATCTGCCCAGGAAGTAACTGCTCAAGACTCCAGGCCCCGGGCTCTCCTGAGGTCACCTGTGCCTACCAAGCCCAACTCTCAGCTGAAAGACGGGGAGCCCTATATGCCTGGCTGTGGGATCGGTGTGGTGGGTGGGGTAGCAGGATACAGCTATCACCTAGGATAGCTCCAAAGCAAGTTCCCAGCTGCCGGCCCTGGCAAGGAGATGTCTACAGTAAGGGCTCCTCCCTGCACAGCTGCTCTTCCTACACAGGCCCCAGGGGCTCATCACTCACACCAAGACCTCCCTGTCTTCATCTACAAAATAGCACTGCTACCACCTGCCTTGTGTGGGGCCCAAAGGCAGAGGAGCTGACTGGTGATAACAGACTGAACAAACCACTGGGGTGGGGGACACAGGGGTCGTGATAGGAAGTTAAAAGGTCCACACAGAGCCATAGAGGGCCAGGATGCTACGAAGGGCAAGAGGACTCAGCTGGAGCCAGGATGGAGAAGAGCAAATGTCCCCCAGAGACGCCTCCACCAAAGGACGTGGAGGACACATCAGCCCCCAGGGATGGCAGGGTCAGAGGCCACGCCCAGCCTCCTGGCCTTGAAACAACCCACTGCCTGCTGAGTGGAGCTCCAACTTCCTGCTGACTGAAGGATATTCCTGCACCTGCACTGGTTTACAAAGACTGAGGCCCAGGGGTTGAGGCCTCCCGTGGCAGGTGGCACGGTGTCTGGCCTGTCTCCCAGCAAGCCTCTTGCTGAGCCTCTGCAAATCAACTGCTGAGCAGCTCCTGTGTGCCCTTCTACCCTGGGGTCCCCAGCTTGAGCCCCAGTCCTATCTGGGGCCAGAGGGAGCCCTGCGTGTGGGGACCCTGGGTTCCCACCCACCCCACTGCCCTGGGTCTGACTGAGGACACATCTGTAAGGTGGGATGACGACATTGCTGTGAGAGGCCAGACGCCCCAAGCATACCCCAAGTTCTTGGAAATAAATCCAAGTAGGAGCTTCATGGTAAACAAGGCCACAGATAGCGAGCCACTACCGTCAGACAGTAGACACTGCTCTCAGCTGGCACAAACCAGAGACACTGAACAAAGTCACCCAACTCATGGCCAGCCACACCCCAGGCCAGGCTGGCAAGGGGCTCGATGGCTGAGGAAAGAAACTCAAGACAGGTCAGCCACCATCATGCCGTCCTCCAACTGCAAACAAAGGCTGGGAACCATTCTTGCTGAGACCACAGCAGGCGACACCTTCTCGCAGTTACACAGCACTCACTCACTCAACCTAGTTCCTCTTCATGGGGCAAACCCCCAGCCCGGAGGAGGTGCCAACCTTCTGGCACCCAGGGACACTCAGTACTCAAGGGTGGAGCCCACTGCCCCAGTCCTGAAGCTGGGACCACCTCCGGTCCCCCACACCGACCCAGCCCTGTAAAACAGTAGAGGCTGCAGCCATCACAGGACAGTCACAGGAGGCCCCGAGTGTCAGCAGGGTGCACCTCGGCAGCCCAGCAACTGCCACACACACACAGACACTCACAGTCACTCTCACAGACATATCGAGTTACCTAGGTAGACATGCACACTCAGACACACAGGCATAAGGACAGACATGGGTGCACACACAGGGCCCCCAGGCTCTTCCCCTGGGGTTAGAAGGCTCAGGCACGTCTTCCCCTCCTGGGCGCCACAACCTGACCCTAAAGTTGTCTCAAGCATGAAAACCTGGCCAAGGCCAAATCCCAGGACAAAGCAGCAGACAAGCGGATGGCCCAGGCCTGAAGAGGACGGCAACCTGGCCAGGACTTGAGGATGGATGCAAATGAGCAAAGGCTGAGACAGCACAAGGCAGGGGCACCTTCACATGGCAACAAGTCAGTGGGGAGAGAAGCCTTGGCTGGGCAGGAGACACAGAGTCAGGATGAGAGACGAGGACATGGGGGGCCACCCCATAGGGTATGCAGGTCTGAGGGGCCTGGGTGAGGAAAGGCATGAGGTATGGACGCCATGGCAGGCAGCACTGCAACAGAGCACGAATGGGCTGGGGCTGAACCTGTGGAGCCCCCCGTTATCGGCCCAGCGGGGAAGGAACAAGAAAGAGGGAGGGGGCAGGCAGCCAGGGGGAGGGCAGTGGCCCCAAGCCCCTGGGAGGGCGCAGTGGGAGTGGCATGGGCCTGCAGACAGACCCTGGCCTCCAGGGGGCACTGCTGACCTCCTGGTTTCGTGTCTGGGGCAGGTGGCCTAGCCTGGTTCTTGCTGTCTGCTAACCTAATGACACTCCACCCAGAGGGCAGGGCAGCCCGCCTGTGGCCACGGTCTCACCTCACCTTCTCGCCGACGGTGAACAGCAGCATCCCAAACGTTGTAAAGAGGCACAGGTGAATGGCCAGCAACAGCCCGACGCTGGGGAGGGGATGGGCACTCAGCCTGGCAAAGTACAGGCCCCACACCCAGGGAGGGCGAGCCAGGGACTCCTGATGTGCCACCGGGCCGCTGGGGCAAAGCTACTCAAGGCCAAACCTCTCTCTCACCAGAGACACTGCCGAGCGCTCAGCCCAGGGCCCTGCAGGACAGGCCTGCTCCCACCCTGGCAGAGTCCTCTTTTTTGGTGAGACAAAGGCAACCTCAGAGGAGGGACTGGGGCCTGGGACACTGGAAGTGAGAGGCCACTTCCATCCTTCTGGGCTGATGGGAAGATAGCCAGGTGGACCTGTCCCCAGGTGGGCAGGGACTTGAGACAGAGAGAAGCATGGGTGGCACTTCTACTAATGGGAGCCCGGGGGGCAGAGGGACTGGGCCCAAGACTCCAAATTTCTGGTAGTGAGGGAACCTTGAAGATGTCCAGAGTACCTTAGCTCTGTAAGGTCTAAGAGGCAGCAGGGAACCAGGAGACACCAAGTCAGGAAAGGACACAGCCATGAGGGAACACAGGGACAGGCAAGGGACCCATCAGAGGGGCACCCGCAGGACTCAGCATTGGAAGGGAGGAGAGGCAGGTCTGCAGCGGGGCCTCTTAAGGGGGCCTGAGACTCCTGCACACTGACCTCTCCAGGGCATCGGGCTGGGAGAGTTCATGGGCCTCACAGGCTGCATCTGGGCAAGGAGCATCCAGGCCATCCACAGGCCAGGGCCCTTGGGCTCAACACTAGCTGGAGTCCCATTGGGACTAAGACCTACCTGGCCATGTCCGGCAGTGACGACCGGATGCACTTCAAGGTCTTCTTCATCATGGAGGAGTTCTGCAGCAGGAAGAAGGGGCGCAGGAGGCGGCGCATGCGCAGCGGCTACAACAGACCCAGAGTGGCCGGGCTCGAAACTGCCTACACACAGCATTGCCCCACCCCTGACACCTCAGGGGCAAACATGCCTGGGACCCTAGGGATAGGAGTAGGCCCTGCCGGCCACAAGCTGGCCTGGCAATTTCAGCTGGCAGGTCATGGCCTTTCCTTCCCTCTCACACTGCCCTGGCTCCTCTCTGTCATGGCACCCAGCACACGCGGAATTACACTTCACATCTGGCACTTCTAGTGTGCCAGGGCCTCTCCCTCACTCCAGAACCTCGGTCCCCGGGACAAAAGCTCCACCTGTCTTGTTCCTGCCAGCAACTCATGCAGCAGGCCCTTGGAGTGACCCTTGCTGAGGGCACGTGGCCCCTTGGAGGGCTGCACTCGCCATCCTCAGAAGGGTCCAGCACCTGGCCTGGGACTGAGACAAGCAAAGGGAGCAGTGATGACAAGACAACTGCTCAGGGCTCTGGCCCCATCAGTGGGAGCAGCATCCTCAGCTTCCCTGGGGCCCTTACACACCACCCATGGTGGAAGCTCTGCCCCCAACACTCAACAGACCAAAGCTCCTTGGCTCCCAACAGGACAAGCAGAGGCTGAGGGCGGGGCCAGCTTCCCTACCCACCTAGGGACCTGCACCCACTGTGCAATCAGCACCCTACACACAGGGCCAAGAGGACACTAAGGCACATCCAGGTAGTCCTCCCCTAAGAACAGGTCGCTAGGCCAGGTAAGCCCTAGCAAGTGCTTGGAGAAATGCTATACCCAGACAGCTACACTAAAACCAAGTGAGTGGCCAAGGCCTGTCAGTGGCCCACCAGCCCCAAGGCAGCAATGCTCCATCAGGCAGAACCCAGCACAAGAGCAAGTCAGAGCCACCCAATGTCAATAGGAACTCCACAACTGAGGAGCTGGCCAGAGAGGAACAGCTGGGGGAACTGCAGATGTGCTGATGGCTGGCCCAGCCAAAAAGGGACCTGGTGTGACATTAGAACCTCACTCTAGGTTCTCCAGAGCCGGTGCTAAAGGAAAAGCTCTATGAGGGCAGCTTCAGCAGCTCCTCTAAACAGAAACATCTCCCCAGGGCTGGACACAGATATCACAAGAGCAGGGCTGTAAGACTGGGGACAGGAGGCCCCAGAGGGCACGAGTGGACGGGTCCCTCCAAAAGCACAGGGCAACCAGAGCTCCTGCCCCCTGGAATGCACACTAGGGGGATCATTTGGCAAGATGGCATATCCTGCAGGCAGCTAGCTGAGCCTCCCTCCTGAGCCACATATAGTGTCACCGGGAAAGTACAAAGCCTCTGCCAGGGCCAGAAGCACACCCACCCTGCCTAAAGCAGACCCCAGCACCGGGCCCCACACAGCGCCCTGCTAACAACCCTGGACACTGACTCATCGTGACAGACAGGCGTGTGTCTGGGGACCTGGGGGATGACTCGGTGGAGGGCACCCACCACTTAGTGCAGCACCCATTCCTGAGGTCAAGCGTCATCCAGGAGAACCAGCCTGCCAGAAAGGTCCAGAGCCTTCGAAGATGCAGGACACTAACCTCGAGCTTCCAAGGCACAGCACAGGCTCTGAGGGACCAGTTCTCTCACAGTGAGATTCAGGGGACCCAGGAATGGGAGTAACATTTCCACTCCCCACCCACCATTCCTGCCACTGCCGGTCTGGAAGTGTCCATAGCCAAGGGAGAAAGGTGCATCCACCCGGAACACACACTGGTCCTGCACATCCTCAGGGAATGATTCCACTACTAAGGACAGACTAGGGTATTGCTACCTAGTTCTGCAACAGGGTCCTCTGGGGAATCTCTAAGTATCCCTGTGTCCAATAGAAAAAATCATCAGAAAATCCCCAGTCATCAAAAAAAGGAAAAAAAAAACCCTTGGTCTTTGGGAAGAGAATTCTTCCCAAGGGAATCCCCCAGCAGAAGGGAATCCTCAATGTCACTTAGGCAGTGAAACCTAGGGTCACTTCTGCAGCTGCCCAAGGCTCCCTCCTGGCCTGTCAGGCAGTCATGTGTCTGTGTGTGCGAATGAACCTCCGTTCCTCCTCCTTTCACATATGCACCCTGATGGAGGTTAGGGGGGTGCGAGTTAACCTGTGACTTATGGAATACTTGCTGGCCAGTGTAACAGATACTGTAACTATCACCAGGAAGTGGTGGCTGTTGGGCCACTCTCCCTCCATGAGTCAGATAAGGCTGATCCCAAACCACCTGTCCCCACCCTGTCCTACCAGACCCTGGGGAGGTCAGAAGGTGGATGCGGAAGGGTCTTCTCACTGCCAGGCCTCAATGCTCTGGGCATGCAATGTGGGCACACTCAGGCCCGGGGGTGGCACTGTCATGAGGGATCCAGCCTGGCGGAGTTCAGATGCCAAATGAACTGAGGCCAGGAGCTCAAGCAGCCCCAGGACTTGCCGCCCCCTCCTCCTCTCGCCAACAGGGCACCCCAGGGGAACCTCGTGCCTTCTCTAGGCCTATGTGCTCTATCTGTGAGATGGGAGCAGAGTTCTCGGACAAGAGGAGCCCAAAGTGCTCGGGACACAGGCAGCACTGGGCAGCTGGCTGTCACAGCTGCCAGAGCTCAGGCCCCTATCTAGGTCACCTGCTGGCCTAGATAGCTGCACCTGCACTCCACATCGCCACTAAGCCACCTACCTCCTGACAAAGAAGACTCAGGGACACAGTCCAGTCCACCAGGGACACGACCAGCACTGTGAGGTAGGCCAGCAGCCAGAGGTTCCTCTGGAACTGGGACCAACCGACCAGATAGCCCTGCAAGAGATGGGGACAGGGTGAATGGTGAGGCCACAGACAGGTCTGAGCCAGGCAGAGGACCTGTGTGCACAGGAAGGCCTGGCAGCAGAGGGTCTGCCCAACAGTGGGGTCTCCATGTGATATTCAGGGAGCAGGACGCTGAGCAGCAGTCAGAAGGCCATGGGTGGCTCACTGAAATCTCGGGCAGGCACTCAGCCTCTCTGGCCTGTTTCCTATCAGCATCGAGGCTTCCACCACCTGCTCGACCTATGCCAGCCTCTAGTGTGTACAGCGTCAGAAGGAGGCGCAAGGCTTCCAGGCAGGAGACACAGCATGTGAAAGGGAAATGTGCTTCAGCCGCTCCTGGAAGGCGGAGCGGGAGGTGGGTTCTGTCTGCTTCTCCTCCTTCTAACCACTTCCTACCCTCAGTGTCCCGGTGACCTCCAGAGGTCACGGCCTGCATGTAAAATTATGTGTTCTCCCATGAGTTCCCCAAACACACTGATCATTCAGTAAACACTAATGACAACTTCTCATCAGTTTCGGTTCCAGTTTTAAACCCCACAGACCTACTAGCCCAGTATGAGCTAAAATAGGAAGAACTGAGAAACCGCCTCAGCCTACATCTCTTTCTCTCATTCACACACACACATACATACACATGCACACGCACATGTCAGTGCCCAGCCACCCCCCTCCAGGAGCACACAAGCACCCTCCCCACACCACAGCCTGCAGGGATCCTGAAGCCACAGAAGCCCACAGCCCAGGCGGAAGAGGGCAGGGCTGCCACTGCAGGTGCCACCTAACACTGTGAACATGGATGCCCCCGGGGGCCACAGTGTTAGAATCACTAACAAAAACAGGACGTGCAGCCCCAGCAAGACCCAGCCCCTCTGTACCCTGCTGCAAAGTCACCAAGGCCCCATGGTAATGTGGCCCACAAGCTTCCATGAGCTGAGAAGGCCCAAACCCAGCTCCCTGCAAGATCCAGTCACAGACAGAAGCCAGGGTCAGACGCCTCCTAGCTGCTGTGTGGGCAGAGACCCCCTTCTGCCTCACACCTGACTCCTCTCCTCTTTGGGGATGGCAGAGTGAGCCATGAGGAGCGCCCATGGGTCTTCTTGTGCAGTTGGGGGTCTCCCCTCACAAAAGCCAGCTCCTCACCAGCTCCCAGAGGCTCTCCAGGCCATCCGGCCGCAGCGACACAGCCAGCCCCTGACTCTACCCTGGGGAAGGAGAATTGCCAACAGCCTTACTCCCAGACCCAGATACACCCAAGAACCCTATCTTTGCCCAGAGGGTCAAGGTGCAGAAGTAAGAGGAGAGACAGACAGTCTAGGGCACCAGAAATAAACTAGGAGAGAAGCGGTCTGGGGCTGGGAGGGCTGAGGCAGCTGGAGCCACATGGAGGGGGCACAGGCTCAGGCACTGTCCACCACCTGCCTGCCTCACCTTCACAGAGACATCGGCCACAAAGACCAGCAGGCAGAGCAGCTCCACGCCCTCCATCAGGCCGCAGGGTGGCTCCCAGGGCAGGGAGCGATAACGCACATCTGCAGTCCTCGTGAGCGAGGATGGGGTCTCGATAAAAGCCAAAAACAGGATCAAGAAGATGGTAAAGCTCAGAGTCCTGGAAAGAAAACAAACCCGGTCAAAGGGCAAGAAGCAGCTGCCCTCTGGGGCTAGGACACTGACTGGCAGGTGAAGGCCCACAGGGTAACACTGATCTACCCAGACTCCCTGCCCCGGGGCTGACCCAATGTTCTGAGAGGCCCCCATGGCCAAGGAGCCCCAGACCACAGGCTGGGCTCCTCACTAGGAGGAGGATATGGAGCCCACCCAGACAGTTATGGTCCTCTCAGGCCAGGCTCCCCAACACCAAGCAGGCCACAGGGAAGCCCAAGTTCCACGAGGTGCATTCTCACCGTTGGCACAGGTTCGAGTAATACCATCGGTAAAGACACATCGAGCGGGCATCCATGCGATGGAAGATAGAGCGGTACTGGAAGCAAAGGGTCACAGAAAGGCATGAACAGGGTCTCCCTGGTGCTACACATGCCCAAACCCTGAACTGTTCCCACACCGGGCACCATCTCCCACTGAGCCAGGGCCCCCTGGGGAGATGAACTGTGAATGGCAAGATCAGCGTCAGCACGTGGACAAGGCATCCCCCACCTCACAACCCTGCAGGCTCAACCCATCACACGCTTCGAGGTTTACCCAGCAGACCAAGCACTTCCCAAAGGTCAGGCACGGGGTCCAGAAGGAGCTGTGTTTGCAGAACACACAGCTGTGCCTCTGTGAGGCTCTCTTCTCCTCCATGCAAGGGTGGCCCCTCATCTCCAGCACAACAGTGTCATTCCCCAGGATGCCCCCTGTCCCACTGAAGACCTAGGATGGGGTGGCCCAGCATAGGCCATAGGGCAGGGTGAATCAACAATGCAATGATTCTAGTACTCAGAAGACGGCCTCCTTCAGCAAGGTCCAGCCCCACCATCTCGGTTATCCTAATCCACAAGCCAGCGGCTGAGGCCCCAGCCCAGGACAGCAAGGAATGAAGGCTGGGAAATGCTCGGACAGCAGAATGGCCACCACCCAGTCCCACTCACCTGAATAGCATCTTCGATGAAGACCACAGCCTGGTCGATGCAGAGGTCCTGCCTGGCCATGGCACCTGCGGGCAGAGAAGACAGGTCAGATGACCAGGCAGAGTGCGCTGCGCCTCACCCCTACAGGCCAATCTGATAAGAGGAAAAGCCAGCTGCGGTCCTCCCTGCTCAGTAACAAGACATCCCCCACCCTGTAGCTGGGGCACAACACCTGCCCAGGGGGTCCCACCCAGGCAAGGGGCACAGCAGGGCATGCTCAGGACACGGCCCAGAGGAGAGGCAGCTCTGACAACCACAACTGCCGCTGCCCGAGGGTCAGGATGCAGAGGACACATGGCACCCAGCGAAGCCCATGGAAGTGGCAGTGTTCTACAGTGCTGGTATCAGACTTGGGGTTCTCCTCAGCCAAGGGTGGGTGTTAATGGCCACCTTGCTTGGCTCCCAAGAGGATCTGTGAGGGGCAGTGTGGGGATGCAGTATGCTGTGTGCCACACAAGTCACCACTCTGCTGCCCAGTCCCACCACTGGCCTCCTGCGTGGCCCCAGCATTATCAACTAAAAGGTAGGGTAACACTACCTACGCGCCCTCCATCCAATGAGACCAGAGATTAAACACTGAGGAGTGAAATTAACATCTAGACCTGGAAAACACCACCGTGACTCTTCATCAAATACTGAGGATGGTCAGTGTTCCATTCCTTCCCCATCCTGGCCCACAGGACCAGGTGACCTGTGCCAAGTGGCCCTGAGGACAGAGTCCAGGGAGCCCCTGAGCCCCTCCCCACCTATCCTCTGCCAGATCCTCCCTGGCAAGGGCCACCGAACCGATGCCTTCAACGATGACTTGGTTCTCACAACACACAAGATCAGGCCTTCCTGCGGTCTGAGCCAAGGAGGCAGCCAGTTCCTGACTGCCAGGGGCCTTTAGGAGCAGCTCGCACCAGCACCCCAGCTGCTCTGGAGCCCTTCCCACCAATGAGCAGCAGTCAGCGCACCCAGCCAGCGGTCACCAGGGAGCTGGGCTTGGCAGCCAGGTGCACAGTGGGCAGGCAGTTGGCGCCTGAAACTCAACATGAGAAGAAAAGCACGAGTGGGGCCCAGAACAACAGGAGAATGGGGGACTGAAGTTCACACATCCCAGGAGAGAAGGTGCAGCCAGAGCATCCCAGGGCCCGGGGGCCTGTGGCCATGTATAGCCCATGCAGCTCACATCTGGCTTGGAAATGAAGTGGACAGCCTTGTCGATGTTTTCATTCACGATTTAACTTCTGCATCTGGCCCCCTGGGGCCTACGGCAGCACTGAGAGGATGCAGAGCTGAGCTGCTAGAGCAAAGGGACAGGAGGCTGCAATGTGGGGGAGCAAGCAGAGCTCCAGCCACTGCCCCCTCTCTGCCACCACCACTGGGGAAGCACCTTCTCTTGTCCCTAGGGCTCCTGTCCTGGGACAGAGAGTAGGGCCGAGGGAGAAGCAGAGATGTGGGAGCCACATCCCGTCTGCCCTAGCCTTACTATGTCAACTAGCAAGTGCCTTCCTCATCCTGGGCCTCAGTTTCCCCACATGAACAACCACAAGACTCACCCTGACGACCCTTAAATGTTTCTCAGAGGGGCTCTGAAGGCACCAGCTCCTGGCATCCCTAAGTGCTCTGGGATGCTATGAACAGCAGCTATACTGCCTTTTCCCAGTATGAGGCAAAACTCAAAGCCAATTTAGCCAATGAGGAAATGAACAGCCCAAGGGCAGCCTGCAAGGCAGGGGTCTGAAAGTGCCATGTTACACAAGTCCCTGGAAAGACAAAATCTGAGCCTGGAGAGACAGAGCCATACAAGCTTCTTAGAGAAGAGACAGGACTGTAGAAGGGGCTCAGTCTGCCCAGACCTTACTGCAGGACCAGGCAGGTCAGCGCCCCTGGACCATGCAGCACCCCTAGGATTCCGCTCTGTTTGGCTTTCTGGCTGCTGGTTTATAAAACTCTGGCTTTGACCACTGTGGAAATCAGTGTGGAGATTTCTCAAAAAACTAAAACTAGAGGCTCCATTTGACCCAGCTATACCTCTTCTTGGTATCTTCCCAAAAGAATTAAAAGCATCATACCCCAGCGATACATGCACACCCGTGTTTACACCAGCACAGTGTGTAATAGCCAAATCTTGGAAACAGCCCAAATGCCCATAAACAGATGAGTGGATAAAGATGTAGTTTTTTATAGACTGGAGTACTATTCTGCCATAAAGAAGGATAAGCTTCAGACATTTATAGCTACACGGATGGACCTTGAGACCACACTCTCAAGTGAAATAAATCAGACACACAAGTTTAAATACCGCATTGTTTCCCTGGTGTGAGAAACCAAAAGTGGAAATAAGGACGGAAATGTATAATGGATGTTGGGAAATGGGAAGAAAGTGTTCAAATGGGAAGGGGAACAAGGGAGGAGGGAGGGAGAAAGGAAGGAAGGGACAAGAAGAAAAGTGAAAATGGAAGGAAAAATGGAAACAAAGCTTTTGTACATAGGGAGGGGAGGGGGCTTGAGGGGGGAATAGGATAAAACTTATTAAAGCTTAAAATAATAAATAAAAATAAAATAAAACTCTGAGTCTGGCTGGCTGAGCACACCCGCCCTCCCTTTGCCAAACCTCTGGAAGACCATCACCCTGCGGCAACCCAAGAGATCTTGTCACAAACTCTTAGATGCACAGCACAGCTTTCCATGGGGTCCCACTACCCCAGGCCCACACTCCGCCCCAGCCTGATACTGCAGGCTCCATCCCAGCCACCCACCGGCCGGCCCTCCTGTTGCTTCCCCACCCTGCCTCCCCATATCTTTCATGCTAAACTTGGCCCTGCCAAGGCCACACCCTCCAAATCCTCCAAGCCTTTGCCCAGGGCCAGAAGCACTATTGCCCAGCCTGTGGGTTCAAGTACTCCCTGTGGGCGACTCACCCTGCACTGAGCTCACGGGCTGAAATCACTGGTCCATTTCCCCTCATCCCACCAGGCTGGGGGTTAAGCCGGACTCACCAGGTCAGAATGAAGCTGGGGGGGGGCGGGTGCACTTCAGCCCTAGACTCATCTCCTTGCCCTCAGCTTCTGCTCCCCAACATCCAGGTCTAAACTTGTTCTCCCTCTTACTCTAGACTCCTCCCTGCACAATTTGTGTAGGGCCCTCACCAGCATCCTGTGTGACCCTAGGGAAGCCCCCAATTTCTGTGTCTTCGTTCCTCGGACCCTTCCCAATGGGACTTAAACATTGAATGGGTTATTGAGCCACAATGCTTTGCAAAGAAGCCCTTTATCAATACTCTGAAAGCTTCTACAGCCCAGCAATCCCTTGCCCTCTGACATTTTCACAAACAGAACAGTGATTCTTGGAACCAGTAAGAAAAAACACTCCTCAACCTTGGACCAGAGCCTGGCAGGTGGGGCAGTCAGGAGGGCCACCTGGGGTCCTTAGACCCGTGAAGCAGTGGCACCCTCCTTCCTTGTGCGCAGGAGTCCAACCACAGGACATGCAAACCCAGAGCACAGGGTCCATCTCAGAGCCACAGGTGCAGGAGCAGAAGGTGAAAGAGCCATCCCCGTCCCCCAAGCCCGATCAAGGAGATGGAACACAGGGCATCTTGCCCACACTCTCAGCAGGCCTCACCAAGGCCATGGTGCCAGGACAAAGAATCCTCCCAGAGAGTCCCTCGAACCATCCACACTGCCCAGCCCTGGCTCCTGTCTCAACAGAGCAGGTGGTACCTGCCAGATATCCACTCTGCCAGGACCTGCAAGTGCCATGGCATTCCTACTCTGACCTGATTACCTCTGAATTCTCACAACGCCCCTCCGCACATCCTGTTACTACCTCCTGTAGCCGATCCACCCAGCTGGCCTTGTTCAGGACCTAGGCCCACTACTTTCAAGGATGAATGTCAGAAACACGGAGTCAGTTTAACATGTGGGCAGCCAGGGGGCTCTTGCCTCTTAATAGGCAGAGGAACCCCGAGCAGCTGGCTCATCTTACCTTTATTCACCCAAACACAGGTACAAGCAATCAAATAACACAAGGTTCATCTGCTTTCCAATATCCATTAGTACACACCTAGGTAAACAACTTAATCTCAGAGGTCTTAACTTTTCCCTAGAACCTGCAACATGCAATCACCCGAGTGCAGCCTTTCTCTTTTGTGCTCAGAGGCGTTATGCCTCAGTTCTCCTCTGGTCTCCTACACCTCCCTTTTATTGAGACCCCAGATAGGTTCAGCAACTGCCCAAGGTCACAGAGCCTGGAGTACAAGCCCCAGAAGGCACCCAGGCCTTCAGACACAAAGCCTGAACTCTACTCAGACACATCCCCTGAACTCTATTCCTATCCCTTGTCTTGAACTCGAGGCCTGCAAGACCTGGCCCAGGCTGGAAGGATATCTGGTCCCAGGAAGCAACTGAAGTGCCTCCCTGGGGACGATAGCCTCTAGTTTGTCTCCTATCCCTGACACCCACTACTCCCTACTATTCCACAGATGGACACACACAGGTCATCAGGGCACTGTTCTGACCCAGCTGTCTCCTGGGTAGAGAAAAAAAAGTAAGGTCCAGACAGACAAGTGGCCAGCATGAATTCAGTGCAGTACTAGCAGAGCCCACACCAGAAGCCAGGGCTGTGACCTTGGGCACAGCTCCCAGCTTCTCCAAACCTCAGTTTCCTCATCTGTAAAATGAGGCCAAGTCCTTCGCATCTCATTCAGCACCTAATTCCCCGGAGTCAGCCAAAGACAGACTCCACCCCGCCCTCCCTCCTCCCTGGACTCAGCAACCTCCCTGACCATAAACAGGAAGGACAGGAAGGAGCTGGGGAGAGAAGGCCCCGCAGGCAGCTGCAAGGGATAAGGGGAGGAAGCTGGTCTGGTCCCAAGAGCCCTGTCCCAGCCACTGCCTCCCCAAAACCTATCCAGGACTGCCAAGTCACTAGCACGCAGCTAGGTGGAATCCCTCCCGGCCACTTAGAGTCTAGAGTAACGTCTTGAGTACAGTAACATCTCTCCCTGAGCCTCAGCTTCCCCCCTAAGAAACGAGGAAAATTAAAAGCGGTCCCCGCTAGGGGCCATTAAAGCGGCCAGGGAAAGCCCGCGGTCTGGCCGGCCCCACACACGGAAGAGGCACGGGGGCTGTGGGGCTGGCATCCCCCAGGCTGCCCCTCTTCGCCCGGCTCCAAGGGGGCAGGAGGCGACCCCGGCGTCAGGAGAGCAGCTCCCCTGCGCCCAGACCCGCTGGGACTCCGGCGCGGTGGGGGCGTGCGGGGCGGCGACACGCGTGCGGGGACAGCGGGACCCCAGCCCAAGCACCTCACCGGAGTCGACTTGGACGCTGCTGGAAGCCAGCAGCCCCTCAGAGCAGTCGTGGTCGCTGCCTCCACGGGCCCGGCCCAGCAGGGGTTCCGACTCGGCCTGGGGCTCCGACATCGGGTCGCTCGGCACCACACGAGACCCAGGAGAGGAACCCGACCCGCGAGCATCCAGCTTCACTGCGCAGGCGTGCGGCTGGACCGGGAGGAGGAGTGACCGCACTGTAACGCAGGGGATGCCCTTAACTACCGACCAATGAAAACAAAGGGCTCGTGCGTGAAGCCGGGGTTTTCTAATTCCCCGCCCTTCTGGGTGGGGCTCAGCTTCCTTCCCTCCAGGGAGTGGCTATTTGGACCAGAGGGCTAGGGCGAAAACCTCATCAGAGAGTGGTCGAGGCTAGAAGCGGGAATGTTGCTTGAGTCCTCCCAGACCTACTGAATCTGAAACTCTGAGGTCACCTGTTTTGATTTTGGTTGAATTTTGGGGGGTTGTTTTTTGTTTTGGGGGGTTTTTTGGAGACAGGGTCTCATTATGTAGTTCAGATTGGCTGTGAATTCACCAGGTAGCCTAGGCTGGCCTCAAACTCACGGTGATCCTCCTGTCTCAGACTCCCGAGTGCTGGGATTACAGGCGTAAGGAATCTGCTTTAAAAGCATTCTGGGTGATTCAGTTGCATGTGAGTTTTGGGTACATGGCCCCAAAATGGAACTTGAGTTTATCTTCTGATAATGAAATTAAGGAACTAAATATAATTAAGGGCGTAAAGTTTCAAAACACAAACGACAAGCTGAAAAATATTTACAACACGTAAATGTTTTTTCAACATTACTAAAAAGAGCTTGTGATAATTTTCTATTGCTGCGATAACAAATTTCCACAAACAGCATAGAACAGCACAAACGCTAAAATTGGGACGATACAGAGACTAGCAATGGCCCCTGGCAAGAATGATCAAACTTGTGAAGCATTCCATGTCTATGCACCTTGAGACCATTATGTTAAGTGAAATAAATCAGACTCCCAAGCTTGATCATCCCACAGTTTCTCTTATATGAGAAACCCAAAATATAAATAAGAGCAAAATAAAAGATAGATAATAGGAAGTAGGAGATCTTTTTCAAATGGGAAGGAGAGCAAAAGTTGGAGGGAGGGGGGGAAGGTGAAGGAATGAAACAAGAATTAAAATGTTATGTACATGCGGGCTGGGGATTTAGCTCAGTGGTTCCGGTGCCTGCCTCACAAGCGCAAGGTCCTGAGTTCGATCTCCGGTACCCAAAAAAAAAAAAAAAAAAAAGATGTTATGTACATGTACCAACTCCCCACGGTAAATGTGATCATTAGTGCAAACGTGTACTAATAAAAAATAAAATAAAACAGTACTGCATAACTCCCACCTGATATGTTAGCCCTGAATGTCAGAAGTCCAGCAGTTGAACTCTTAAGCGTGGCCACTTGGGGCTCTTATCTGGAGACAAGAAAATCCACTTCCAGGCTCACCCAGATGCCTGCGGAATTGGTTTCTGTGGGGCTGAGCCTGAGTGCACATTTACTTGCTGAATGCTGATCTGGGTGGTTCTCTGTGGCCTCCTTTTTCATCACAGTCAGCAGGAACAAACTGAAGGCTTTGTCTTCAAATGAGATACTTTAAAGTGCAGCCAAGTGCTCTGAAGCTCTGGCTTCCCCTTCTGCCCCATCTCTGCATCTTTTCCTCTTGGTTAGGGGCAGGGGAGGGTTTAAAACATATAATATTTATCATCTTCGCCTTTTTCGTATGTGTGGTACTGAGGATGAACTCAGGGCCTCTGTGCTGAGCTACACCCTCAGCCTTTTTAAAAGTTTTTATTTTGAGACAGAATCATGTTAAGTCACTAGGTTGCCCAAGTTGGGCTCAAACTTGCAATCCTCCTGCTTCAGCCTGCCAGTGCTGGGATTTTAAGTGTACTGCTCCTGGGTATTATGCAACTGTCACTACCGTTGGTCTCCAGAACTCTTTCATCTTGAAAAACTGAAACTGTACCATTTTCAAATTTATAGTTTCGCTTGATGATTTTTTTGTTTTGCTTTGTTTTGTTTTTTGAGGCAGAGTCTTGCTATGTAGCCCAATCAGGCCTCAAAGCAGCGATCCTCCTACCCCAAGCCTCCTGCCTCAGCCTCCCACATGCTGGGATTACAGGCATGTGCCACCACCACTCTGCTTAGTTTAGTGATCTTAATTGACTTTATTTTCAACACTGTTGGTTTTATAGCAGCCATTCTAATGGGTGAGAGACATAGCTCACTGGTTTTGATTTGCATTCCCCTAGGGATGAGTGAAGTTGCCTTGCCCTTTGTATGTATGTCATCTTTGGAAAAATGCCTGTTCAACACTGCATTCCATAATACATTCACAATACATGTCCCAATGTACAGAGCAGAAGAGATTGGGTTTACAGACAGAAAAAAGCTGCAGAAAGCAGAAACAAAAAGGAGATTGGCCATCTCCAAGTTACTTTCTTTGTAAGGAAAGGGCAGGGAGAGAGAACAGTAGAAAAATAACTGGTTAGATAACATCAGGTTACACTTTACTTACCTTTTGAGAGAAGAGATAAGGCAGAGAGAACTCCATTATTTACCAATTGCAACTGGCCTCTTTAGGAAATTTGACTGTTATCTCCCTAATCCTGATTGCCCTGGAAGATCAAACAAACAGCTTAGTTTCAACTTGGCGAAATGAACTTTGGAATGACTCCATTTTTTTTTCTTTTTTATGACCGGGGATCAAACTCAGGACCTTTTGCTTGCAAGGAAGGCGTCAACACCACTGAGATAAATTCCCAGCCCAAGTGACTCCATTTTGATTTTTAGTCTGGTCCATGGAGGCCCAGCACAGGGCCTTCATCCAGCAACACCCTCCTGTCACTTTTATTTAATGCCATTAAACTGTAATTTCCAAATTCCCCCCTCTGACCCTCTAGCAACCCCCATTCCACTTTCTGTCTCTCTGATTTTGACTATGTATCCTGGGCACCTCCTTTAAGTGCATACAGTATTTGTCCTTTTATGCCTTGCTTCTTTCCCTGCACAACATGTCCTCAAGGTTCATCCTTGTTGCAGTAGCAGCATTTCCTTCCTTTCTTGCAGATTGAATATTTCATTTTGCTTCTGCATTCATCCACCACTGAGTAGCTTCTGTCTTCTGCCTATTGTGAATAATGCTGCTGTGAACATAAATGTACAAACATCCTTTTGAGACCTTGCTTTCAATTTTAAGGAATACAGACCCAGGAGTGTGTGAACCAAAGTTCTCTAAAGTCTAAACTGCCTCTGAAACTCCTGCAGCTTACTTGACCTTGGTTGAGAACATCATAACTGTGGAGAGATGGTATGTTCTAGGTCGGGAACCAACACTATCCCTTATGCACTTTAATAGCTGATTACTTTAACTTTTGTATGTGACCTAACATTCTTGTGACTAATAAATAAACTTCTTGGAATGTACCACTAGGCTTAACCGACCTCTAGCCTCCCCCAAGTCCTAAGGCTAAGAATGCTCTACGATAACATCTGAACTCCATGGAAAGCATCTCCCCATCTTGTGCAGCCCATAGCCCACCTGCCTGATGCCCCAACCTGAGTGACTGGGAAACTTAATGATTTATGACTTTCTTTGGTTCTGTGACTCTTACATTCATGTAACCTCTTCCATGGTGGAACATGTCCTTCAGGGTAACTGGTCACTCATATTTGGCTCAGAATAAGTTATTTTCTATTTCCTTTAAAACTGAGTTGTTAGGGCTGGGGATATAGCTCAGGGGCACCACGCCTGCCTCACAAATGCAAGGTCCCAAGTTCAATCCCCAGTACCAAAAAAACAAAACTGAGTTATTTTACATTGCCAAGTGGAATTGCTGGATCATACGGGAATTATATTTTAATTTCGGGGGGAACCGTGATACTGTTTCCCACGGTGGCTATACCATTCCAGGTTCCCAACAGTGCACACAAGTTTGAATTTCTCTCCATCCTCACTGACACTTGTCATTTCCTGGTGGTTTTATAGCAGCCATCCTAATGGGTGAAAGGCAGGGCTCACTGTGGTTTTGATTGCATTTCCCTAAGGATTACTGAAGTTACCTTTGCCTCTTTGTATGTATGTCATCTTTGGAAAAATGCCTATTTAATTCCTTGCCCATTTATGAATTAGGTGTTAGGGGGTTTTGTTTTGTTCTTGTTGAGTTTTAGTTCTCCGTTCTGTGCAAAAATCTTTTATGGATATATGATTTGCAAATACTTGCTTCCATTATGTGGGTTACCTTTTTGCTGTATTGCCCTTTTTGGGTTTGATTTTGTTTTGTTCAGTTTTTGTTTTTGTTTTTGCTTTTGTTTTGTACCGGGGATTGACCTCAGGACCTTGTGCTTGCGAAGCAGGCAGTGGAACCACTGAGTTGTTCAATTTTTTGACACAGGGTCTCACCATATAGTTCAGGCTAGCCTTGAACTCACTCTGTAGCTCAGGCTGGACTCAAATTCATGGCAATCCCCCTGCCTCAGCCTCCCAAATACTGGGATTACAGGCATGCACCACTGCACCCAGATCCCATTGTCTTTTTTAAAAAATAGAGTCTCACTATGTAGTTCAGGCTGGCCTTGAACTCAGTCTGTAGCCCAGGAAGGCCTTGAACTCATGGCGATCCTCCTGCCTCAGCCTCCAGAGTATTGGGATTACAGGTGTGCCACTGTGAGAGTGAACAACAGTTACTCCATTTTGTAATAGGGCCCGACTTGTCTGCTTCTGTTACTGATCACCAGGTAGACATCGAGTTCCAGGGATGTACTTGTTGTGCCAGGAAGGTCTATTGTGTGTGTAGTGTTTCATCATGCTTGCCCAACTCCATATCTGAATATGTTATCTTAAGGACAATCTGTAAAAGGTCTGTTTTATCTCTCTCCTCCGCTTTTATATTTCTGCTTGCTAACTTCCCCTGTGACCCCCTATAAAAACAGCGTCGGACTCTGAGCCAGTTGCCTCTCTTAAGCTACTTTGCTTTGGGAGTGCCATCTGGCCAGACTAATAAAGGTCTGTTTTACTTTCCAACTTGTGCGGTGTGTTCCCTCCCGGGTGATCTTCGCTGTAGTCAGCTCCTCGGAGCGTTTGGTAAGGCCCTCAGTCTTACACCACCACATCTGGCTCCCATTGTCTTTTGATGTGTAAGTATCATAATTTTAATTA